TTCCCCAGCCAGCCATGCTGGCTGGGGGATTCTGGGAGTTGAAGTCCACTCATCTTAAAGTGGCCAAGTTTGGACAACACTGTTCTAGACATTAAGCTGGCTACCTCGCTGCATGCTCTTAAAGCCCGAGCTTTTCCCAAGGGGGAATTATTGTGATTGTCATTGATTAGATGTCCTCTTATTATTATTAGTTACCATTATTATCATCATTAAATATTGTGTTTTAATGGGAATGCTTTCATTGTTCTTTAGTATGTTGTAAGCAGCTGTGAAGAGTTGGCAGTGTACAAGTACGTAAGAAAATTAATAAGTAAAATACATCTCAGCCAAGAAAACATCCTGGGCTATCCCTGAATAATGGTAGATTTTTTTTGTAATATGAAGTATCTTACTATATATGCGTATCAGACATTTTCATTCACTAGGAAGCTAGAATGTGCTAGTCAGTGGGAAACCTGAATTAGCAACTATGTAACATGTCACTTAAATCCTTGTAACTGCAGGATAAAGAACAATGGAATCATTTCTTCATTTCAAAAGCCAATCATGCCCCATGCTTGCTAGATTATTTTTCTCTATAATTCTGTTGCTCTTAATGTGATAAACCAATTTTACCTATCTGAGCTCTCTTTGTAGCCTGATCACTAGGGTGTATTGGAAAGATGCAGAAGTAGTATTTGTCCCATGGCTTAACCCAATATAACTGATATTTTTAAATTGATAGTCAGTGCAAGGTGGATGGGCGGGGTAGAAGAAATTAGAGGCAAAGTAGAGAAAGAAGGGATCTTTAATGCTTTGTCTTCCCTTCAATCCCAATTGAAATGAAACAAAACTGATACCTCATATTGCTCTCGGAAACACTTTTAATGCTGCTATGGCCTGAAGATTTTCTTTACATGATTCACATTTACCAAAATTTAGCCTTTGCCCCCTAACAGCAGGGGAGAAATTGTGACAGCCAGTTGCTCCTGAAATTCTTGTTATCTTTTGCATTCAGGTCCTTCAGAAAAGCAAGTCAGCTTTATTGCAAATGATTACTGGAAGGGATTGCTACATAGGATTAGTTATCCTTCCACAGCTTTTTCTGGCAGAGGTGAATGGAAGTGAGAAACATCTAGTGCTAAAAATGAAATGAATGGGTGCCAGCAAATTCTGGAAACACTCCCACTATGGCCTGGAAGAGGCTGTCCTCCTCGTGTCAACCCCACCTATTTCACCCACTAATACCACATGATCGCTTAAGCTGTCCCTGCACAGTTTAGAGAACAAGATCAGTTCTCTGAAGTCCACAAACCCACACTGATTAAGCACTGCCTCTCCGGTGTTTGGTGGTTCTGGAAGCTACAGACATAATGCAACCAAAATTTAACAAGTGGCTGCCTCTTCTATCTTTCTTCTTTTCAACTTGTACTGCAGTAAGTTTAGCTGGGTAGGGTATGGACCTGTCTAAAAAGTGTAGTCACCAAAATATCATAATCACTGAAAATGCCATGTTTTTATTCTTTTATTCAGTATTTTGCCACGCGTGATAACTGCTGTATCTTGGATGCACGATTCGTAAGTCATTATCTCTGTTATTTCTGCATTCCTTTCTAATCAGGTTATTACTGTATATTGCTATCTGTAAACATGAAGTTCTTACTAAAGTGCATGATCTTTTTTAACTATTGACAAATCAATATAGGCTTATTAGCTGTTTTGTTTTCATTTCTCCTACTGTTCAGATTTCTATCTATTACAAATCACTTTAAAGTACCACATCATCTCTATGCGTAAAGGAAAAAAGTTCTACTGCCAGGCTATTAAACATTTTTTGTTGGTTCATATGATTAAAAATTCTCTTTTCCTTTAGGGCAGCTTTTGTCCTACAACATGCGGTGTTGCAGATTTCATGACTAAATATCATTCGGAGGTTGATCGGGATCTCCAGATCCTTGAACAAATGTTGGTGGATATCTCTAACTCTTCAACAGTAACTGACAATTTGATACGCCATATCCGACAAGGGCATGTCTCACAGCCAGCAACTCAGTCAAGTGAGAACCAAAGGCTACCATAAATGGTTTTACTATCCCAATTATTTAGTTTGGTATCCTTAATGTTTTATGTACCCCCTGCATTTCTTCTACAGATGTGATTCCAGGTTATACACAGAAGTCCAGACAAATCATTGATGAAATTATCAGATATGAAAACGTCGTTGTGGGCCATGAAAATACAATACAGTAGGTTTTTTGTTTATTGCTTCAATGTTTCGAATGCAAAAGCATTTTGTTTATTTAATTTTGGGGTTTCCATCTATTTTATTCCAACAGAATTTCTACTGATGTATAAAGGCAAAGTCTGCTTCCTTTCATGTTGTCCATGTCAAATTACTTGCCTCATTTAAAATCAGTCATCAAGACAGGAAAGTTAAACTGTTTACTATGTAGTTTAAACTATGCAGTTTATTGGAGAGGTAAAGCAGAATTATTTATTTTTAAAAGCACTTTTATATTCTACAAAGGATACGGAATAACAAAAATGCTCAGAGAATGTTTGCTTATTATCTTGCCCTATGTATGGTTTACTTATCCCCACATTTTAGCCATATAGCAATCTTTTGGGGTAGAGCGGGAACAGACCAGGCATTCTCCAGATATTGCTGAATTTTAGCTCCCAATATTCCCCTCTGTTGGTTACAATGGCTGGGACTGCTTAAAGTTATAGTTAGCAGTTTTTAACAGATTTTAGGTTCCCTGTACCAGATTAAGAGATAATAATTTATCCATTTTTAGTGCTTTTCTAGTTTCCTTGGTTTGAACTTTGTGTTTTTATTTGCATTTTTTCATTATAACTACTGGGCCTTCCTTCTGTAATGTGGGAAGAAAAATAGTATACAAATAGAAGAGTAATAATACAGTCCCCTTTATAAACATACATACAGAAATTGATCTGCAAACTGATAGCCCTATTCAGGCATTCTGTTTGTTAAACACTGAATACATGAAGAGGCAGGGATATTTTACAGTCCCACCTCAATCTGTAAATTCAGTAAGAAGATGGTAAGGGCAATGCATAATTGTATTCTCCCTTCTATACGTTCTATTCCTCTCTGCCTCCTTTCGTGGAAGGAAAGGGAATCATATGTGTAGTTTCAAGTGTTGCTACAATAAATCTGTATTGTCCTTTTTTAAACTCCAGGCAATTGACAGACATACTGATATTAAACAATAACAAGATTCAGCTATTAAAGCAGAAAACTGCTCAACTTGAGGCACAGTGTCAGCAGCCATGTAAAGACACTGTCCAGATACAAGAATTAACTGGAAAAGGTAAGAGTAACAAGATGTTATATTAATTTACTAACACTCAGTTTCTATCCTGTAACTTCCACTCTAAAAAATTGTTTACCAAGCCAAAAATACATTTTTGGCCCATATACATTATAATCTAATCTGCATAGATTAAAAAGCATTTCTTATATTTAACATGCTATAAACATGTTAACAATTCTATGTGAAATAATTCGTTGATTTATAATCAGCTCTGTTTTAGCTTAAATTTATTTTTTGAGAACACATTATTAAATTAATAACAATTAGACATAGATTAAAACTAAACGAAACAAATTTGAAAGGCGCTTTATTTATTTTTAGAGTGACAGAAATATATTGATTTCAGGGGATATTAATGGACTTAAGATGTAGATGTTACTGCTGTAATTCTCTTTTGACCTCAGTTCTAAGCACACTTATTTATAGATCAATTCACTTGATATTAGTTGCATTATTCATTCTAATAGTCAAATATCCTTAGAACTAGAATCTTGGATATTATGGTCTGATGTATTCTGTTTATAGTATTGTTGTCAAGTGCAAGCAATCCACAAATAAGCCACTAAAAAGAAAGTATTGTGTTAAAAGCATTTTAACTGTGGCTTCAAATGTTGTGAAAAGCATGTTGGTATAGGATAGTGCGCAAATATTCTATGCAGATTGTGGTATATCATGACTGCATGCACATAACATTATGCCCCACCAAAAGTTGCCTCAAAGTTGTAATAAATTATAAAGGGGAGAAATCATGTTAATTGTACTTAGTTAATTTAATCCCATTTTAATTACATGTAAATTAAATAAAAGCACTGGTTATTGCCTTTGAACTACTTACTTCCTGGTCCTGGAAGCACCTATTTCTTGAAGGATGGCCTTCCAGCATCTCACTCAAATGGCCAAAAGAAGTTATGCCCTTTTTTCCCCAGATGGATTCTCATCAACAGCAGATGAGAAGATAACAAAAGATAATTGTTTCGAGACTGTAACCCTTAAGGCTAGAGATAGGGGACATATATGTTAATGTTTTTCTTTAAGTATCTTAGGAAATAGGCTAGGCTAGGACATTTTCTCCAACTCCAGTTTTCTAAGTTTGATATGGAGATCAATGAGATGCCACCTTCAGACTGAAACATTAAAGTTCAAAAACAAATGTATGTTCATATCTGTTGGAACATAATAGGAAACTACCTTTATAACAGCTAACTATGAAACAAAAAAAAAAATACTTCATAACTCTGCTCATACTACTTTACTTATTTCCCATATCTGCTTTTGTGCAGGACACCAATAA